ATCCATATCCATATATATATATATATATATATGTATAGAAACATGAAGTAACAATATTTCTGTTGGTGATATTATTATTTTATTTTGGGTGGGGAAGCAAGTAGAGTAGTACATCTTACACGTTATACAAATTTGATTAATTGTAGTTTCAAACTCACATTTTATAGGTCGGGAGATTCTCCGCTTCGTTGATTCTTTTGGAGATCTGGGGGGACACCCTCCATTTGTCTATCACAAACATATGATCACATAGAACAAGCGTGAGATATGAAAACGTGCACCTTTTGCTTCTGCTCTTTTTCCAATTTTGGGGCTCTGACGAATTAGTTTTTTTGACGGAATACTTCGTACTTAGTTCTTGGGTGCTGCTGCAGTTGTTATGACTCTCAAATTTTTATTTTTCTTCAAGTTTAAAATGAAAATTTTCCCTAAAAGAAATAAATATTTCTTTAAAAAGTAATTGCATTTCATTAATCATTAATCATTAATCATTAATCATTAATCATACTTTTAAAAAACAAATGCAGCATATAACCCACAACAATCCGAAGTAAGATCACATCTTGTAGGAGACAAAACACAGAAATCATTCAAAAAAAAAAAAAAAAAAATCAAAGCAAAGCCTCTGGTCCTTCCAAGTGCAAAGCAAAATCTCCATCAAATGAAGCCTTGCCTTGCCGTAAATACGTATAATGAATTCGAATATACGTACCCATATCTCCCTGTTGTAAGCATGTTCATCAATGTATGAAATCCATAATGAATCTATCAAGATTGTCATAAGATGATCCTCCCAAACTGGTCGATTCTTCTGCTTTCTTTTTCCATTCTTGAGCTTTCTTCCTCATTTCCTCCCCTTTCTTGCCCCCCATCATCTCCTTCACCAGCTCCTCAACTTCCTTCCTCCTCACATCTCGATCGATCTCCATGCCAATCCCCCACACGTTGCATGCAAAGTAACAGTTTGTCGGCTGTTCGTCGAAGAAAGGCCAGCATATCACCGGCGCACCACCACAAACACTTTCCAGCATCGAATTCCAGCCGGAATGCGTCAAGAAAGCCCCCGTCGACCGATGAGCGAGAACCTTGTCTTGGGGGCACCAACTCACAATCAACCCTCTCCCTTTAATCTCCTCGTAGAACTTCTCAGATAAGATTGCAGAGCCATTGCCAGTACCCTTTACAATATCCGGCCTTATCACCCACAAAAACGGGTGTTTGCTGTTGGCGAGACCCCATGCGAACTCCTGAAATTGTTGGTTGGACATGACAGTGATGCTCCCGAAACTGACAAAGAGAACGGAGTTGGGTTCCCTCTTGTCGAGCCAGTCGAGGCAGGCGGAGTCCTCTTTCCAGAGACTGGATCTCATTGACTTGGTTTGGCTGAGTGCAGGGAGCTGCTTCTCGAGCAAGGAAAAAGGACCGATGGTATAGATGTTGGGAAAGAAGTTGGTGGCGATGACGTCGAGGACTTGATGCTCGATTGCATCGAAAGTGTGGAAGATGATGGCAGAGGCTTTTATACAGCTTCGGGTCTCGTCGCCCATGAAGTTCAGCATAATATCTTCGCGATCGGCGGTTCTAATCAGGGTCGGGAAATCTTTCAGCCGGATGTTGCTCATGCCTGGGACGAAATCAATTGGTTCGTCTAGACTACCGTCGCTGATGAGGTTTTCATCTGAGAAAGAGATATTTTTAAAGTAAAAGTTTGTATATTCTTGAAACTAAATTTTACGTAAATACTAAACATAATACATCGTCACACATATCTTAGACGAGAATATATTGAAGTATAACTATGTCATGCCCACAAATTGTAGAGAAAATGAGATGATAATTATTGAGCTAATCAATGGTTCGTATCAAGGAAATATTATCGTGCCATGCATCAGAAAATTTATGTACTTAAGTCAATGTAAAATGTAAATATCCATGCCTTCTATATGTGATTAAAATTACCCAAAAAGACCTATAAAATGGTGTTTAGGAGGTATACATACGCATTGGTCCTCTTCGTGGGCTTTGGAGTATACGTAAATATCCATATATATATATATATATATAAATTACGTATATGCATGTATGTATATATAGACACACACTAGATTACATGCATTTAAGGTCATTGTGAATATCACCCACGCTTAGTTTGCATAGTGGGATTGGTCCTCTTCTTGGGTTTCAAAATGCTAATTAAACTGGAGTCTTCTATGTTAGAAAGCATATAAATATACACACACACATATATATATATATATAAATATATTATATATGAAAAGGTATAGTGTATATAATGTAGAAAATTTGGGAAATTAAGTACCCTTGAATGGAACAAAGCCTCTATCTATAAGTTCCTTGAAGTAAAAATACCCAATGAAGCCACAAGCGGAGGCAGTCCAAAGAGAAACCCCAGGAACACCAAGTTCATGAGCAGCTTCAATGGCGAAGTTCATGAGACCATCGGCGATAATGCAGGTGATCGGAGGTGATCCCGGCGTGGAACCCAGCTTAGCCAGCAGCTCCCTAAACGGAGCCAAGCAATTCTTGCTGATGGAAGCGGATAGAGCCCAGAGATCCTGAGTCTCATCCCGATCCGACGGGGGCAACCCATCGGTTATAGTCCTGAAACAGAAATCAGGAAGACCCTTAACAAAGTCAGGCCCTTTAGATCTGACCCAACGATTGTGATTGTATTCAGTGTTGACGAAGGTTATGTGAGTCCCACCTCTGGAGTGTAAAAGCTTGGCAAACTGCATCAAAGGGCTGATGTGCCCTTGTGAAGGGTAGGGCACAAAGACTACGTGGGGTTTGCCAAGGGAACCCATAAAGACTAGTTGGGTTATATTTCTCTTCTTGTTTTTTGAGGAAATGATTGTGTGGGTTGTGTGTATTTATAGGTGTAAGGAACGATTTAATTAGTGATGAAGGTGGCCATCGAAATTGATCGTTGAAAGGAGAAAATTGATTTCAAAATTAGTATTCATGTTGGCTTCCAATTATTATAACTCCTCCAAGAAAAAAACAATTCTTTAACAAGGGAGATAAAGAATAGGAAATCGAGAATCCAAGGATATTCTAGTGAAGTTGATCCATGGTTTTTGCTTAATTTTCTTTTTCTTTTATTGAGTGCAACTGTATGTTTGTACCAGCAGGTAGATATTTAATCACTCCAAGTATGTTTATGTATGTATGTATATATATATATATATATATATATATATACACGCTTCATTTCCAACTCTTTTAATTATCTATGGGTTTGGTATATGAGTACTAATTAAACTTCAAATTTAATAAAAATAAAAATAATAATTAATTACTTTTAAGAATATCAATGAATTATTTAACAGAATGTATATAATAGATTCTTCTGTGTGTGTGTGTGTGAATAAGGAGATTGCGTTATCATTTGTAATATTATTATATAAATATGCTAATACATTTTATATAAATATAATTGCTAATACATTTTTCATCAAAAAATATCAACCTCATTTGTGGTATTATAGTAGAGTGCCCAAATACTTTTTGATGAGTGAGAAAATAATCATATGGTTAGACATTATAATTTTTTTTGTATAAAAATTAACAGCACATACCAGCTAGGGTAGCTTTTTAAAATACATGTATATATATATATATATATATATGAGAATAATAAGAGTTTTACCAAAAAAAAAAAACTTTGAATACAACCAAAAATAAAATATATAAAAAAAAAAGAAGCAATTATACAAGTGGGTTCACTTTGAAGGGGCAAAAGACTGAAAGATTCAAAAGCCACCCACCTTGTGGATTATTAAAAAAAAAAGTAAATTTGAATCCGTGAGCTCTCACCAAAAGAAAAGAAAGGGTTATTACCATTACCGGTACATGTTTTTGTGGACAGAATGCGTATATACGCCGTGCATGATTATTGTCATTGGAAAAACCAGAAACATACTGAAAATGGCAAATGAGATTAGAGAAACCATTGGGGGTCCAGAGGTAGTACGTAATTTAATTACCATGCACGTGCATACGGTTGTCGGAAGATGTTTCTAGAAGGAATTACTTAAATTCCTAGCAGCCTACCAAACACTCTTGTTACTGGGAAGGTGTAATGTGATTTAGTCATTGGGAGGAGTTAATTTCCATGGTATATGTCATTTCTTTTCAAAATTATTGACGTGCGTTGACCTTCTTTGACTTCTGAATTTATAATTTATAATTTATAAAAATAATAAATAAATAAATAAAAACACACAATTAGATCCTTACAAGCCGCCGATTCAAAATATGAGAACATAATGTAATTGTTTTATATATATATATATATATATATAATAAAAAAATAATTATATTCAAACATCTAGTTTGGAAGCTAGTGGCTGCTGTTTTTTGTTTTTTGTTTTTCCGCCCTCAACTTCAACATGTTACTTGTAATTTAATTAAATAAAATATTTTTTAAATTTACTTCTTCCCTTAAATTAAGCATCTTTTATTAATATCAAAATATAAATTAAATTATGAATCATTCATATTAAAAAATTGGTAAAAATGAATTATGATTTAATTACAAAACTAACCCTCTACTTTTAAGTATTTACACTGTGTGATCCTTTGTTTAATATTTCAATAATCATCGCAACTTGTGGAAGGAATAAAAAAATTTATTTAAAAAAAAAAAAAAAATCACAAGTGTATATTTTTATTTTACATGTGCAAGAATATATATATAAAATATAATATAACCACAATATACTAGAAGTTTGATTTTTAGAAATTAGGAGTTGTGTTACAATAAATTTAATCAAAGAACGAAATCACTTAAAATGATTTTGTTTTTTCAAAAAAAAAAAAAAAAAAGTTATATAATATAGAGCTTTATATGGGTTTAAATTAATGTATTTTAAATTTTATTGGAATTACTAAAATTAAATTTTATTGTCTACTATTGTGCAAAATTCCACGTAATACAGTCTATATATATATATCAATCTTAATTTTAAGATTTGTTTTAAACATGTATAATCCAATTTCAGTTCAAATCTTAATTTTATATATAATATGGATTAAAGTAAAATAAAAATCTTGAAGAAAATATATTGTATTTCTAAGCTAGTTCTATGTTTAGTTCAAGTTAACGATTCTCCATTCATACGTGATTAAAATGTAAATAAAATTAGTTAAGTTATGTTTGAAAATACATAAATTATGATAAAATTATAAATATTAAATAATCAATTTAGATCAACAAATAAATATTAAAATTATGTTCCAATTAATGGGAATTAGCTTGTGTAGTGTGACAAGTGAAACATCACAGCCTTGCATATGCATGTGACTAAATTATTAAATCCTAATACTTAACATTAGTTTTTGAGTTGATTTCCCATATACTAATCGTGTTTTATTCCTTCCATGTATATAATTATTATTTTAAAAAAATAAAATTTGAACCAAACTCAATATATGATAATTTTATAAGGGAATTTACATTCAAATTGTACCTAGTTTTGCATGTGAAGTTCATTGATTTTTCTGGGTTTACTTCAAATATAATCTTAAATATTTAAATTGTTAGATCAAAACTAGGTAAAGTAACATAAAAATTATTAATTATAAAACTCTTGTGCTTTAAAACTATAGATGATAACATAACTTTGGAAATCACAAATGGGTAGATTAATATTGATAAAATAATATCCTGTAACTCAGTAGATAAAATACATTATACAATCTGTTCGAAGGATTAACGAGTGGCTTTGGTAATGAACGTTCTTAAACCAAAAATTAATATTATTGAATCGAATAAATTCAATAATAAATGTCTAGATGCATTCCGGTATTTTTACCTTAAAATAAAATTAATTATTACAAATTTTTTCTTAAATTAAAGTTGCTACAAAATTAAATACAGATGAAAAAATATTTTGTCGGCGTTGACTTAAAATCCAGGCTATACTGCTGTGTGCAATGAATGATTTAGAGGGCGTCGAAGTTGGTAGTTGAAAAAGGAAAACGTGATCAGGAAAGTAGTTCCAGGTTGGTTTCATCAGCTGAGAACGTGCAACTTGGGAGTCATAGGTTTTCCTATATTATTATTATTATTATTATTATTAGCCACAAGTACTAGGTGTTTGTGTGTGTGTGTATACATATATATATATATATATACAGCACTTATATGTCTGCGCTCATAATTTTGGAAATTTAAGACTTGATTCACATCCGACTTCACTATAATTCAATATCTAATTTTGTTACTGCCGAATATTATTAATTCATAAATTGAAGCTCTAAGATTTTAATTGTAGTTAATAACGTAAATATAACTAATTTAGCATAAAATAAGACAAGTCTATACTTAATTTAAACAGTAATTAATATTAATTATGTTTGGAATAAATCGAAAAATATTACTGAATTCGTTTACACCTAAACACACACTTAATTCTGTAATAAATTACTTTGTAGTTTTTCATTATCTTAATATTAATTACTTAATTCTGTTAAAGGGCTTAGAGTTGTGGACCTCAATTACCCGAGCCCATGAGCAGTGAATGCATGACTCCATAGGTGGCACGTGTAGTCTACATGTGCATGTGTAAATATATGTGTATTAGGTCAAAATGTGTATTGGTGAGACGTACCTGAAA